ACACACACACACACAAACACACCACACACACACACACACACACACACACACACACACACACAAACACACCACACACACACACACACACCACACACTCACACACACACACACACACACACACGCACTCACTCACTCACACACATGCACATACATGCACACTCACACATACACACCCTCACGTACACACACACATACACTCGCGAACACACACATAACCTTTTTGGCAAAGGTAGCCCAAACTTACCGTCGCAGGCAAAACCATCATTATTCAACACGTAGCCGGCCCGGCAAGAGCAGCTGAAGCTTCCGACGTTGTTTGTGCACGTGTGTGCACACCCACCGTTGTTACTGGCGCATTCGTCGACATCTGAAACGATAGATAGTTTATTGCCCAACAGTTCTACAAGATACATTTAAGTATGGCATCTACTGGTACCCACATACACACCAACACACATACATATAACCTTCTTGGTAGCCCCAACCTACCATCGCAGGTCAAGCCAACAGGAGATCAGGAGTGGTCCAATGACAGTCGTCGTACCTTGAGAAAGAAGGCAATTCTACCATTTTCTCATCTGCAAATGAGGTCCCTCTTTGCATCCGAGTTGTGTGTTTCATCCGAATAAGGTCAATGACCAGGACCAGACGTCTGTCACCATGGTAATTGGTGGTGGGTTACATGCTGTTGCAAGTGCCATACAGAACTTAGTTCAAGAGGCATGGTCACCATATACATGAATGTGCGCGAGAAAGAATAAAGAAAAAACAAAGCAGTAGTTTGTTACCCTGGGCCGTGTGAAGGTAAACATAATGCGTTTTCTTTGCAAATGTTACCTTTATAGTTTTTTTTCTTTTTGGTACATCACGTCTTTCTGTACCAGTGCTCTTTTGCCGGTACATTGAATACATTCCACATTGTATGCACAAACAAAATACATTTATAAGGACACGAGTTTACAATGTCTACTTACAATTGGAGGGCAAATTATCATTTGTCTTCAATATCACCAGCATTCTTCCAAACTTGCATTGCTATTCTTCCTATTTTAAGTCATATAATTCCATCTTCAACTTGAAAAAAAGGCACAGAAGATCTCCATACCAGTACAAGTGTAATATGAGTAGCCTGAGTTTACAAGAAAATGTAAATTCAGATGATAAAGAACAATAATAATCATTAACATGTTTTTTCAGGTCATTTAGTTAAGAAAATCTCCCATAAGAAATGTTGTCTATAGTTCACACTGGCTTTACGAAACGCAATGCAGCGTACCTGAACACGAAGTTCCGTCTCCCTCAAATCCAGCGTTACAGGCACAAGTGGCGTCAAGTGCAGGGGCGGGGTTGTCTGTACACACGGCGTTCACATCACACGGATCGACCAGGCAGGCGTTAATGTCTAGAAAATGACAGTAGCAAGAATTAACACATTAATGTCAGGGAAAGAAAAAAAAATTAAAAACTGTCTAAATCACCTGTGTTGTCACGTTCTGTCACTGTCTGCTATGTGGAGAATATTCTTAGAACCCTTCAGCTCTTTTAGATAAGTGTGGTGGGATCTTTCTTTACCATGCTCAAGGTGTGGCTCTCCCGAACACTGGACGTCCGGCTTTACGTCCTATCCGAGAGGACGTCCCTAACCGAAGCTAGGTATTCATTTAAACCTTAATGAAGTGAGGAAAGTCGTGTAAAGTGCCTTTCCCAAGGGAACAGGATCAGTGACACGGCAGGATTCAAACGCGGGACCTCTTGGTTCCAAGTCGAACACGCTACCGTTAGGCCACACGGCACGACACAACGAAATGCAGCGTACCTGAACACGAAGTTCCGTCTCCCTCATATCCAGCGTTACAGGTACAAGTGGCGTCAAGTGCAGGGGCGGGGTTGTCTGTACACATGGCGTTCCCATCACACGGATTGGACAGACAGGCGTCAATGTCTAGAAAATGACAGTGGAAAGAATTAACACATTAATGTCAGGGAAAGAAAAGATAAAACTGTCTAAATCACCTGTGTTGCCATGTTCTGCCGCTGTCTGCTATCAGTGCGGCAGCTGGGAGAATATTCTACTTTCTTCATCATCACCTCTTCAAGATGTCAAACCTGAGACCAGATTGCAAGGATTGGACCTCTCACGCCGGGTAGGACCCTCCAGCTCTTTTCGATAAGGGTGGTGGGATCTTTCTTTACTATGCACAAGGTGTAGCTCTCCCGAACAATGGACCTCCGGCTTTACGTCCTATCCGAGAGGACGTCCCTAACAGAAGATAGGTACTCATCTACACCTGAGTGAAGTTAGGAAAGTCGTGT